GCTTGACAACAGGACTCCTTTTTTTTTATAACTGCAGCATTTATTACTCACGTTTATAGAAGCAACTCATAGACCACACCAAAGTACAGTAAAACTTGCCAATTTCTGTTAGTGTTTTGCTTCTCGGTTGAGCGAAAATGACAGCGAATAGAGGGTTACTTCTGAAGCGGGAGGATGATATGAGAATAAGACATGGATCATAGATAAAACCATAAACTTGAAATGTCTGCTGAATTAATTATATAAATGATATCTATGTCCTGTATATGACATATTTTTGAGACATTTCAAAGATATTTAAGCTGATCCAGCTAAACATTTGTAAACTTTTTGTATATTTTGTTAAATTTAAAAGAAATATTTTGGGTATATTGATCTTGCTTATTCAGATTCAGATTCAGTGCTATCAACCTGCTATTAATAAGGATATATATTATAAATATCGCTAAATATGTATTACATAATGACTTATCCGAGTCACTGGAATAGCTTAACAAAATTCCATGTGACTAACACTATGCTATACATGAAGTAAGAGTAGATTCGATTAGATTGCACAAATCTAATAAAGTCTTGCCTAATCAATATTAAGTCATAAGTGGCTAGGGAGCCTTCCCAATTCACATGATATCACATGACTGGGCATTAAATTGGATTCCTCGAAATTAATGAAGCATCTTCTTGCTAGCTTTCTACCCCTCGCCGACTATTGAACAGCGTGCGTGTGTCTGTGTGTGTGTGTGTGTGTGTCAGCTGGAGGACAATTGTTCTCTAGCGTTTAAGTCTCACTGAGCAGGAGCTGTGCGAACAATGGTTAACAAGACAACCCGTTGCCCTAGATACATTCGGGGCAGGGCATCTTTAGGAACTGGGATTATTATTATGATTGTACCTCGAATGCTTTATGCCGATTCGCGTTCGAGTTCCAGTTCCAGTTTGGCCGAACAAAAGCGCTTCACATATAAAAACATTAACTTCTGTCCCACTGTCGGCGAAGCAGAGACGCAAGAGGAAATCCAAATCGAGCTGCGGAGGATCTCCCAAGTTTCAGATACAATGGCAAAGACAATCAAAAAAGTTGAGTCAACCCTATTTCGGCTTTAGTTTTATGTTACTTTTATGTTTCTCCAATTTTTCACGTTCAAGCGATTTACGTGAATATGTGGATTTAGGTGCGCTTTTCCCTAAAAACTCGCGTCCATAAGACTCCCTCCCTGAGCAATTCATTTCAATAGAAATGTAAATACAAAATTTTCATAATAATTGAAATGGATTTGCCAGTAGGAAAATTCCCTAAGGGTGGCTTACAGGCCAACCCAGACGGGAATTGGATGCGGCAAACCCACAGTGGAGAGTTCCTCAAGTCAATTTCCCCCATGCTCGAGAGTTGCAAATGACGTCGATGATTTATAAACTGTTTTCAATTGAATTGAAAGAGGTTCTTCAATCGATTTTACGGTGCATACATAATTTCGATTAAAAGAAATAAACACAGCGAACAATTCGTAACCCTCCCATTGATAAAGAGTCAAGGAATATCAACGAGTCTTCAAATTACATTTGACTCATTTATTTTTTAAGTTTTAGAAGCTAAATATTTAAACTATAATTACATTAGTCATCAAAACTATTTCGTTTATAGTTTTGCAAGCAAAATATAACTTAGATCCTTAAAGATGAATTTATTTATAAAATACAAAGAGAACTGGAACTATAGATAGTTCAGTTGAAATTGTAAAATATAAAAATCACATTTTTATATTCAAAAACCAAGAACTCTCGCCTTAGCTAAACTCAAGTTTTCTAAAGCTCAATAGAGTTTGAAACTCGTTACAGCTGAACTTTAACCAATTTGAACTTTCACCCGGCTTAACATTTCTGGCAAATCATCTAGGAACCACTTGAACTTAGCTCTTCCAACATTTTTCAAATCTTCTAACAAGCTTCCAATTACATTGAAGATAAATTAAGAAAAACTTTTCTTACAAAACAAAAAGAAAGTTGTCAGTATTTATATGTATATATGCATTTTTTTTTTATCTATTGCTACCCAAAAATTAACATTAATTTGCAGTGTCAGTGGCTGGCGGCATTTTGAACCTAACACTTCCTGCCCCCAGGCAACCGGTTCCAGCTGGATCCTTTTGTTTGCAGGACCTTTTGTTTTCGTCCAGTTACAGACGCTGAAAATTGCACGTGTGCACAAATTAGCAGAACTGGTTCCAAAAAAAAAGGAAAGAAGTACCTTATGTTTTTCTTAAATTAGAAAAAGGAACCACATGAAAGTAGTTTGGCACCAGGGGCGCTTTTACCTAATGCCATTGTTCCCAGCCAGATGGGCAGCCAATGGAAATTAGGAAAATGCTATTGTTTTCCAAATGTTAGCTAGGCCTAGCAGGGAGTATTTGATAACTAAGTTAAGCTAGCTACAGAGATAGGGGACAAAAAAGATTTATTAATATAGAAACATATTCAAGTATTGCTTTATATAAAAATAGAGTGATTAGATCTAAATGAGATTTTTTTTGGTTAAGAAACATTTTTTCTCGTGATACCCAAAGCTTATTGGAATAACTGGAAGATTTTTCGCACGTAACTTCTCCAATTGAATTCCCTCACGATCAACCCCTCGTATACGCCACTTGGAAGCACGTGGTAAACGAAACGAGAATTCTTTTCAACAAACTACGTGGAACAAAAGGCGTTTGAATAACTTGCTGTACTTGTAGGCATGTAAAGGAATTAAAAAACGCTTTAAAAAAAACGCCGACCGTCTTGAATGGAAGGCCACACAGCATATTTACACTCAGTGCCAAAAGCAAATCAACCCCTCAAGGCAAACAGTCATGTAAGGGCTGCAGACTTATACACACGCACACGGCACAGCATGAGATGCGTGTAAATGTCTAAGCCATTACAATGTCACTGGGTCCTTGGAAGCACCCTAAAACCGTGAAGCCAGGGCAAGACATTGAAGTCGAAGTACCGAAGGACAAGGGTTGTGGTTCAGGTTAAGCTTCACTCTGAGGGGAGGCAAGGGTGCACAAGTTAGCGAACCATAACATGAATGAGTAAATCACAATTACACACACACACACTTGGATGCTGGGGGATGATTGGACCTGCGTTGTGGAGGCAGCGGCAGCAACAGCAGCGAGCTTTTTGGATCGGAGCTTTTGGAAAATGGCGATCATTAGACAAATGTGTGTACAGTAAAAAGCTTCACTTCAGGATTGAAGAATTTAAGTAAACAAGCAAATAGCGGCGAAATTTTTATTTATCCCCATTATTTGAATAGTGAATGTATTCAGGGATTTTTTTGCCAGATAAGATGATCTAAGATATACACACTGAGCACATGGAGATACAAGTCTCTTATAAAAGATAAGAAGATAAAAAGATTACAGGTACTTGCAAAAAATAATTATCATTTTTTTTTTTTTTTAATAGATAGTTAATACCACAAACTAACTAACTAAAAGCTTCAAAACTTCAAGCTGAGATAAGAGCTTTAATTAAAGGGAAACGTCTAATGCGTCTGAAGGTAGGTGAAACTTTCATTTAAATTAATTAGATACTGATCCATTTATTTAGATATTCAGCTCTTAAGACTCAGACAAAGAACCGACACAATTGAACTAAAATTACTGAACGATTTACTACATATGTACATATTTATACCTGATTTTGCTAAAATGCAGTTCTACAACTTAAGCTGATGAACTAATGAATAAAATTTCGCTTCTTTCTCTTTTTAATCAGACAACAGCGAAGAGCAATTAACCAAAGTCTAGCGGAAATGTCGCTCAGAGAGTCAATGCTCGTTAATTCGCTCTCTTTACTGCACAAGGCGAAGATCAAGAATATGCAAATAAGTACAAAGCATATGCATCTCGCTCGCACGCACGAAGTCATTAAGTTGTAGGAGGGTGAGCCCAGTGCTTTAAATGAATGCTATCTGCGGAAGTGTGTCAAACAGAGGGCAAGATAGAGAAAACCACAGAAAGAGAGAGAGAGCATACATATGTATGTACATGCATCTGCATGTATAAGTGAGGCATGCAGCATGCAAGCTACAGCGTTTGGCACACATTTTGCAGCTGGCAAAGTTTTCGCGCCAATTTGCGCGACCATAAAAATGTGTAGCAAGCAACAGCTAATCACAATAAACAACAGCTAGAGCAACAACAAATAACAGGTTTACAACGGCTGACTGACCGACTGGTTGCCATGGTGAAGGTTGCAATTGAAGCAGCAGAATCCTACACACACACATACACACCACAATGACAACAAATAACACAATGCAACCAGTCGCTTGTGTAAAAAAAAAATGCAAGCAACAACACGTTTTGCCGAGCAGTCAATTTTTGTTGTTGTGCTTCCTTTTAGTTTTTCATTTGATGACAAACGTTTTATGTTAATGAGCGGGGGCGGGGCATACAACCAGACGCACACACTCTTGTTTTGACACCAAATTACGTTACGCTTTGTTCTTTGTACCAAGCACAAAGTATTTTACATATCTAGTATATGTATACAAAAATATGCATACACTTTATTTATTATTAACAGAGTGCTTACCCAGTTGCCGTTTAAAGAAGACTTGCACTTGCACGAAATACACACAAATTTTTATTGTAAACTATGTAGCTTTCGTTTTGTTTTTCCAAGAATTCTTTGGGCAATCGCACGCAGGTGTTGTTGAAGACTATTTAACTAGTTTACCATTCGCTTTTGCTTTGATATTCTACACACAGGGTTGCATTTAGCGCGCGCGCACAGTGCAAGCAGTGCTGTAAAGCAGCGCAAAAAGAGATATGAATATGGTATCGAAATATTATATATATTTTTTATTATAAACAGAGATATTTAAATTTCTTCTCGACAAAAATATATTATTAAGGTTGTTTTGGAAAATGACTCGAATAGAATTCTTTGCTTTACAACGCTGCATTGCAATTGCGCGATTTTTTAGCATATACAAAATAATCGATGACAATTTTGTACACAAATATTTATTTCAATAATTAAATGCAAGAATGCTTTACATGTCCTCGACGCTGTACTTGTAGGCTTCGTCCTGCACCGCTCGTCGCTCATTCTGTTTGTCGAACCAGCGCTGCTCATACCCATTCGATCGATCCACACCATCCCAGCGATAGCCGGGCCGTATGCCATAGCGATTCTCCGGATAACTGCCCTCGTACACGGGCAGGACAGGTTTATCGGAATGCTGTTCCTGTTTCTTGCGCTTCTGCCGCATGTACTCTAGCATGGGATCGTCTGCATGTTCCTGCTCGCGCAGATGACGCTCCAAGTCTTCATCATTGGCATAGCGGGCCACAGGCTTTGACGCCTCGTGCACCATTTCCGCATGCCTTACCTTCTGGTCCTCCAGCTGCTTGAGTCCTTTGCCCCAGCGATCGTAGAGCTGCTTCTTCTTCTCCTCGTGTTCCTCCTTGCGCTGGCGTTCCACTGGATCCTCAGCGGCAGCGTCGCGCGCGCGTCGTCCACGCCGACCCGTGCTGCGCATCTGCACCTCCGCATCCCGTCCAGACACCTCACTGGACATCTGCTCGAACATGCGTCGCTCCTCGCGCCGTCGCTCATCCGTTTCGATTTTCAAGGATTGAGCATCCTGCAAACCCGCCTTTTTGCCATCCAGCGTTCGCATCTGTGTTTGGCCTTTCGGCTTGTGCGTTGGCGGCGGTGATGGAGTTCGAGCGGGCTCCTCCTTGGCCCAGCGGCTTTTGCGTTCCTCCTTTTTGATTCGCCCTGGCGACGCTCGACTTCGATCTCGGCTGCCGGATCGACGTCGTCTAGGTGGACTTTGATCAGAATTTCTTTTCTGTCTGGGCGGAGATTGATCGGAATCTCGTCGATTTTTGTGTTGTTTCAAGTCTGCTTGGCGTCTTCTGGGTGGGCTTTGATCCGAATCCCTTCTTTTTATTGGAGGGCTTTGATCCGAACTCCTTCTTTTTCTGGGCGGGCTTTGATCTGAGTCCTTTCTTCTTCTGGGCGGGCTTTGATCCGAATCCCTTCTTCTTCTGGGCGGACTTTGATCCGTATTACGCACTCGCCTGGGCGGGCTTTTATCAGCGTCCTTTCTTCTTCGAGGTGGAGACTGGTCTGCATTGAAACGTCTCCTGGGCGGGCTTTGATCATCATCATCTCGTTTTTTCCTCCTAGGCGGGCTATGATCATCATCTCGTCTCCTACTGGGTGGACTTTTGTCATGATTATCTCGTTTTTTTCTCCTAGGTGGGCTTTGATTATCATCTCGTCTGTTTCTGGGTGGGCTTTGATCATCGTCATCTCCTTTTATCCTCCTAGGTGGACTTTGATCATCTCTTCTCCTCCTGGGAGGGCTTTGATCATCATTTTTTCTTCTTCTGGGTGGCGATTGATCCACATTACGCTCTCGCTTGTTCGGCTTTTCTTCATCACTTCGTCTTCTTCGGGTTGGGCTCTGATCCGAATAAAGATGCTCTCTGAGCGGGCTGCGCCTCGTCGGGCTCAACTCTCGACTGTTGCTGCGCTTCTCCAATTTGATTTTTATAGGCAGCTCCGGCTCCTGTTTGATCTTCACAGTTGACGCTTTTCGACCCCATAAAGACGCCTCCTCCTTCTCACTAGCCGGCTCTTGCTTGATGCCGTTTTCCTCGGCTTCTGTTTTCGGCTCATCCTTAACGGCAATGTTGCGCCATTTGCTGCGCATGGCGTCGGGATTCTCCTCGATGTATTCACCCACGATTTGTGGTGCATCTTCGCCGCCCAACAACAAGTCCTCGTCAATTTCCTCCTGATTTGCATCATAGTCATCATCGTCGATGATTTTGACTTTAGCATGTGCTAACTTTTTTTGTTTCTTTTCCTTCTTTTTCTTCTTCTTTTCCTTGTCACCCGACAAATATTTCTTCAAATATTCCTTTTGATTGATTAATTTCGCATTTTGCTGAGACATTTTCCACTTTATTTTTTATCAACAAGCCAAAACGTTCAAGCAGCTGGCTGAATGCCTATCGATAGTCACGAAGAACCCAACTAGTCGATTGAAAATAATCGCTTACCCTACAAATTTAAATAATATTGAAATGTAGTTAAATATGTTATTATAATTATTTACAGTTATAAATATGGTTTTAATTTAATTTTATTTAAGTAACGTGGAAAATTATAAAATTAAAATGTAAAAAATTAAATGAGAAACCACGCATTTTAAACGATATGTATGTGTATTTAAAGCAATTGGCAACGCGAAGTATTTAACACATGTTAAATTGCTGCATGTTTTGGTATCTCCCAAGAAAACATATGGTTTTTTTTAACTATCTCCAGTTCGGTCACACCACCAACGATATCCTAATTCTTTTTCGTGCGCCACTATAAATTTGACAATTTAAATAATACAAGAATCAAATTAAACGAAAATGAGTGTTGTTCCTCTTATTCACTTTCTTTTTTTTAATTTGAGCGCCCAGCTAACGGCAATTAAGAAGCTATAGTTGAATCGGAGTGAAAATATAAACGCCGCCGCTGAGGCGGTGGCGTCGACAATTTTTTTAATATTTGTTTTTTATTGACAAGTGTAAGTATTTTACGGAAAGTTAAAAATTATGAAAGAATAATGTTATGTAGTATAGACATAGTCAATCGAGCGCACAAATATGAATGTTAAGTTCTTTTTATATTTTCAACGAACCCTATTTTGTGCTACGTACAGACAAGCAAAGCACTTGACAAGATAAACGAGAGACCACGAATTTCGATACTAAAACGGAGGTAAACAAAAACAGAGCGTTAATCCCGTACTTTTGCTTGCTTGAGTGGCATGAAAAACAAAACGACCTGCAAAAAGAAAATAAAGCCTAAAAGACCTGACATGATGTCCCTTTTTGCGTGATTTGCAGTTATTTTTCAATGAATCCAGCTTGCAATCGGCATTTAAAGTGAAATTTATTGCGGTATGTGCGGGCTACTTGCTCTCCCAGTCAGTGCGGGCCCGACACACAAACACACACACGCACATGCAAGACGTGCGCTCGCGCTCTCTCTCTCTCACTCGCTTTCTCACTTTGAGAGAGCAAAAGCGAGCGCATGAGAGCGTGAGATTTTGATTTGAACGTGCAGCACTTGAGTTGGGATCTACTTGGACTATTCTCAGTTTGAAAGCAGCACGCACCGGGCGCAGTTCGTGCCGTTGAGTCAATGCGGATATCTCGCGCAATATTAGGAAATTAAATAAATCTCGTGTGCCGCCAGAAAGAAATAAAAATTCAGTTGCCTCCTGAGTATTTACAGTTGTGTGTGTCGGTTGATTTTATATCTATTTCAATTTTATATTTATTTCAATTTAATTGCCTGCCCACGCGTATTTACATGTGTGTGTGTGGGTGTGATTGTAAATTTGAATTAGCCACGGTTTGGGGCATGTATTGCTGCTAAATGTTTGAATTTAGTTGCGAGTAACCTCAAAACGTTATATTTACCGTTTGCATTTGTGCCTTGCACTGCTGTTTTCTGTGGCTCTTGACCAATTGAAATATTTTTGACTTTGGCGTACGCACGCGATGCTGCCATAAAGAGAGCAATTTGCTATAATTAGAACGCCAGCAAGGGCGCCCGTTACTCGCACCAACTAGCCCCTCCTAAAAATGAACGGTGCTCAATGTTTTCTCTCTTGTAAAATAAGCCCATAAAAAAGAGATCGCGCTAAAGCCCAAATCTTCCGGCCGTTGGCCTACTAACCAAAACTTGTCCCCCAGCTCTCACACACACACTTACACATACATGCCAGCAGCAACCGACGCGTAAGAATGTTTTTTTTTTATTTTTTATTGTACATAGTATATCTGAATATCTGTTTATCTTTGCCCCCTCGGACTGCTTTAGGTATTTTCTGTCGTGGTCAAAACGAAAGCGCGTTACGCCAGCAGATCAGCAACAGCAGCGGCCGTAAAGAAAGGCAGCGCGACAGCAGCTATCGTGTGAGTGTGATTTAGCGAGCAAGCTAGAAAGAGAGCGCAAGATATTTAATGTGAATGTGAAGCGTGCGTGTGAAAGAAAGTGCAAAAGGAAAACAAAGTTGAAAAAAGAGGAAAAATAAAATAAAATAAATAAATAAATTTTAAAACAGCGCAGATAACGCAAAAGTGAAAGAACCAAAACAATAACAACAAATCAAACAAAATGAGTGCCAACAAACGACGCCGTAGCAACAGCAATAGCAGCAGCACCACTCGAATGGGCACAGCTGACCAAATGAACGCAGCAAAGGATGTGCGCGACGTCGCCGCTGGAGATAACGGACTTCACAAATTTGACGCTAGCAGCGTTGACGAGCTGCTTGAAATGCCGCGCGTGTGTCGCTGTTGCTGCAAAGGCGACATGGAATTGCTCAGCCTGTTCGAAGCCAGCGATGAGGCAGCCAAATTGCAGACATCAACAAAAACTCAACGCCTACGCAAATCAACAATAACAGCCACAACTGCGTCAGAAGCAACACAACAGCGTAAAAGTGATAATCCAGTGGATTATGCGCTCAGCGGTGCACACAGCGGTATGGACATTGTGCGCGAGGAGATGATCATTTGGATGCTCAATGTAAGTAAAAAAGCAAAAGAATATTAGTTTTAAAGTTTAAAGGTGGTCCAATTAGAATATTACTCATATTGTCTTCTCGCTATCTGCTACTTAAAATCGATCGAATTGCTCTTAAACTTATTTACTATAACGGATAAATTGCGCTTAAGCCAAGCATTGCTATAAATATAGCTCTCTTAATCGCACATCGCTCTCTCTATCTGACATCTGAGCTCAAGGCAAATGCAATTGCACACAAATTGACGTAGAATGAAATAGAAGCAAGAGCGAATTTGTATTTTTCAAAGCCTTTCAATTAAAGCCGCGGCAATGTTTTAAAAGCTTTGCCTTAAGAGACTTTATGCCTGGCTTGTATTGTTTATAAATACGTGTGCGAATGTAAGCGAGTCTGTGAGATTGCGTGAATTTTGTGCCTGCACTGCATTTTGATACTCTGACTAAAACTGTATGCTATTATTGTTGGCGTTGCTGGTGCTGTCGCCCGCTCTCTCACTCTCTTTGCTCTGTTTAATTTTTAATATGATTTATATGCCGCACATTGTGACTGACTCGGCACGAACCAAAGAACATATATGTGCGTGTATATGTATGTTTGACTGGATGAGGGATTTGACTGACTGCCTTTGACGTGCCATTTTCCTTCTTGGATTTCTGCCAGCAAGCAAGCAAGCTTTAATTTTTGTTTTGTTGTGGCTGTTGTCCGTATTCGCTTTTACATTTGCCGTTTGTTGTGTGTGCGCTCTTAAATTCAATTGACATCTCTTTCATTTCATTAGATTGGTGCCATTCTTGTAGTTAGAGTAGATAATGATGTTGACTTTGTGGCTGTTAATTGAATGATATGTGAGATATCTCAATGATATCATATTTCATAATTCATGATTTATAATTGCGACATGCAATGCAATTAAGGTTAAATCACCTCCAAATAATTACCGTTAAAAAATACACATTAACATCTTAAACTAAGAACAATTTTTTTTATTAGATTTAAGATACCATTAAATAGTTTTTCGCTTTTGGTTATTATTTTCGTTCCTCTAAATATGAATCATTAAATATAATATTAAATATAATTGTATAAAAATAATATTGTAACTCTACTTCCGTTTATTTACAAATTCAAGCCACTTGTATGGGTTTTTATACCCTTTAAAAGTATATATAGTATTTATAAATTCGCGTTGTAGGTAGAACAAAATGAGACTTATAATATTAAAGATACATTAATGAATGCAAATTTGTTTGCTAGCGACTTTACACTTTTGAACTATGATAATTATATATATACTTAAATGTAAAAAGAATATTATTTACAGAAGATTTGAATATAAATATGTGAAAATATTTAGATTACAGGGTATTTCTCTGTAAATTACACTGGACTCATTTCTATTATTTCTTATGTGTTTCACCTAATTTTTCTTGTTTGCCTTTCTGTTATTCTTGGCAATAAAGCCTCATCGCGTGCCATGCCGTTCACCTTCTACCACCCTATCCACTCCTCTTACTCTATCCCTATTCCCTCTGTCCTACTCTTTCTCTCTCACTGTGAGCAATGTGTGCCATAAACACGCATACCTCAAGCTGAGCTTTGCTCGTGCCACTGTGCATAACAGCCCCCAAAAGAACTTGGAACCCAAATGGAGTCAACTCAGCGTTACTTTCCGGTCAATTAAAACTACAGTAGAGCCTGCCTAACGTAGACTCGATCAACTTTTGATTACCAATAAATAGCGAAATTCAATGGAATTTACGCATAGTATATTCAAAAATATATATCTGAATACCTGGCTGAATCAGGGTCTGGCTTAAGGAGGTTTCACTGTACTGTGAATGCGTTTGCGACTGTGACTTGGCCTTAGTTCCCACTAGCTGCATTTCATTTATTATTTTAGCAATCCGGCACCCCTATATATTTTAATTTATACAGATGTATGTGTGTACGTAATGCTAAGGCTGAGATCGAGCTTTGGTTGCGGCAACAATTATTCATACTCATTACCAATATCGTGGTGGGCTCTACGTCAGTCATGGCTATAACCGGTTTCCTTCGAAGGAGAGAGGTAGCGAGAGAGAGCGAGAGCGAGAGTGGAAACCCCCTGGCCTTGCTTTTTGAAACCCGCATCGCTAAAATGATTTGGACCCACAGTATGTGTGTGTGTGTGTGTGTGTGTGGCCACAGCTCAAGGTGTTGCATGAAAAAGTATTTGACCTTAAGTCGCACATTTGGTTTGCTATACAATTTGGCTTGTAATTATTTTCATTATTTATGATTAGTCGCATACTGCACACAGACCTATAAACTCGAAATACATACACATGCATAATTGAAACGAGCTCAGTCGAGAGACGTGCCATTACACCTTACAAATTCATTTGCATTTTCAGTACACCTAACAAAGTTACACTAATGGCTGTTTCCAAGGCAGACATCGTTGAATTTTGTTTAAGTGAAAGGGGTTTATCTCCACTGCTTGGCTATAATCAAGTGTGTGTGCGTGTGTGTTATGCATGCTTGGCGGAAAAATTTGGTAAAAACCAAACGTTTACATTTTTCGCCTTAGGAAAGTCAATGCTCGTTTTATTAGACACTAAATTGCACAATTTTGTTTTTCAAGTAATAAGATGTTATATTTGGACGATTACGATATTTTTTAAATTTTGTTAAAAATTCATTTGACTTCAATAATATTTTGTTTATTTACTTTATTTTAAATTAAATACAAATAAATTAATAAAAAGGCAATACCATATACAATAAATAATAATTAATTATATAATTTATGCAACCTTATGTAAGGCAGTTCAAATCAGAATTCCAAATTAAATTCAATAAATTTGATGTTCTATCGAACCAACAACCTATACACTTCTATGGCATACTAATAAAATAATAAAAGAAAAACAATAAACAAAATCATTGTACATATATATATAAAGATTTAATTTAAAGATGACTTTATGAATGATCGTGATGTACTTGAATTCAATTATAAAATTACCTGTAAGCGATGCATAAGAAAACACACACTCATTACATTCATTTATTTGTTTATTTGAATGTATTAGTGAGCGCACCTCTCTTGCCCTCTTCATCTTCGGTTCATTGCTCAATTTCAAATCTCTGATTGATTCTGGCCAATGAGAAAACGCGCTTCTTTTTTTTTCATTTTCGAAACTGTCCTAGTGTGCTCTAGTTCCCTCTGTCTTCCCCTCTCGCAGGAATTTACATTCTGCTCCATTCTGAGCGCATTTTACGAAATAAGTGCTGCATTTTTAGAGCCATTTATACGTGCGAGGCATACTCAATCTTTTATTATCGTTGATTAGCGAGCAACACTTTAATTGTTATAGTAATTAAACGAAGCGAACCGCAATGAAACTTAATTGTTCCGGACATAGCCGTTAACGGGCTTTATGGAGATTGCGAAATCTGCTCAAGCCAGCAACAACTATCATATATTTTAGCCAATTTGTTGATTCACATTGAACAACAAATGATGAAAATCCAATCTAACTAAATGCCTTATCAATGATACTGTTAGCTGCATCAACAAGCCATAAATAGACATATATGTATATGTCTATATGTGTGTGTTTCTGTTTTTGTATGTACTATATACATATATATACATATGTATATACATAATTGAAATCAATCAAAAGCTGTTCAATGCCCTCTTTCTGTATTTCTCATTGCTTCGCTTGTGTTTTTTTTTTTGCTGATAATGAAAAATTACGAAAGCAAAGAATTAAAAGCGAGCAACAAAAACAATCAATTTAATCCCGCTGCAACTGCGGCAATTTGTCGGTCAAGAATATGCCTTGATTTAGTCATAAAAGGCTGGCAGCTTGTAACTAATTGTTATCTTCAGGCCTCCACACGTACTCACACGCACACACACTTACACAGATATACAAACACATACATAAATAGGCAAACTCACACACACGCGCTGTGCGCTGCTATCTACTAATCCAATTTAGTTATAAAACTGAAATAATTTGGTAAACAATTCGCCTTGGATGTTATTTACTTAGAGATGGGCGCGTGATCAAAAAAGGAAAGCAAAAAAAAAAAAATAAATAAATAAATAACTTATGACCTTAAAAGTATTATGTGAATAAATAACCAATGTACATAACTTCGCGGATTTATGGGTAAACTTATTAATAAAGCATGAGCTTTCGTGTTACAGTCAATCAAACTAAACGTTTTAGCCTGCCCGTGAGCTGACAACGGCATTCCTTATTGATATGACAACAATCGATACCTAATATATATGTATGTATGTAAACAGTTGCCAATGGAAGCATAGCAAAATAGAATCTTATGTTTAGGAAATTTAAATTAAAGACTTTCTTTGTCAGCTGGGGTATCTAATCTTTTTTTTTTTTTTTTTTTTTTTACCATTTGCCAGTAAATTTAAGTAAATATTTACTTTAACTTTTCTTTATAAATATATTTATTTATATACCTTATATATAGAAGTATTTTAAATATTTATTTCATATACATATTTATTTGTTTGATAAGGCACTCGGTGATGCGGCGTCTAATCTCTGAATTGTGACACTTTTTCTTTGCACTTTTAGCTCAGCTTCCAAAAAAAATATTTAGATTTTCAAAAATAAATACATTTATTCATTATTCTAATTAATTCTTAAAATTTTAAAATATATGTTGTACTCTAAGCCATGATTGCGATAGGTGAAATGTCTTGGGGGCCTTACATACATAAACAGTTGTAGGTTAGATGTATGCTAATAGAGATAAGCATATACATATACATACAAATTATATAAATATTAAATTATCGGCTTATCAATTGTTGGTTGCTTCACGTGTTCACGTGCTGCGCACGTTGTAAATAATTGCCTTATGAAATCACCAGAGTATTTAATAAATAAAGCAGTCTCCGTATAACATAATTAAATTGAGTACGAATATTAAATGGAATACTTATATTACATAGTGGTGGTGGTAGATAAAGATA